ACGCATGCGCGCGCCTGCGCCACAGAAAAGTAGTACGCCGAAGTTTTCGTCCAGTATAATCGCGTTCCTCTTCCCGTGGCGTGGAAAAGCCCGGCGGCGGATCGTGTTCGGGTCATTTAACTCGAATCTAACAGCCATTCGATCGGCGTTCGATGCATTGAACGCATTTACAATTCGTCGACAGAGAAATCCGGACGTCGGAGTGCGCAGTGGGCCAGTGCGCATCGGTGGACCGAAACACCAAGACCGAGATCACCGAGGAGAGTTGAGAGGTTGAGAGTGTAATGTCTGATAAGGCGAGTGATGGACAAGCCGTGCGAGTGCGTGACCGTACCTTCAGTTTTGACAGTTGAACTGTGAAAGTGACTCGTGGAACGGAACAGATTCGACGTACAGTGACCCGGAATCGCGCCTAATATGTACGTGCCAACGTGCCATTGATCGAAACGGACGGTCGCGGTCCTAGGGACTGATTCAGAAAATCGCACGGACCTGAAAAAGCACAAGTGGTCGTCGGTGTGTGTCGTGCGTTGCGTCCGTCGCGAGAACCTACGTGTCTTTTTTCGTCGGGGAATATATTAGGACACTAAAAAGGGGCTGCGTGCCTCCGTACGAAATAAATAAGGACCAGTATCTGTCATAATTTTTTCACCATTGGCAAACAAAGGCGGCTGGCTGGTTTTAGCGCTGCCTTTGACGACTGGATATAGTACTGCCTCTCTCTTTCGTTCTTGCTCTCGAGGGACGAGGAAGCAGAATGGAGGCGATAGCGAAGCACGATTTCACGGCTACCGCGGAGGATGAGCTTAGTTTTCGAAGGAGTCAAATCCTCAAGGTTCGTACAACTCACCGTTTCCAAATCATTTTTGTCCTCCTTCTGGCCCAATCGGACTTTTATTTATCTCTGTCTATATCCCTTCGTCTCCCGTGATTATCATTAACTGTACAAATAATCGGGTACCAATCGATTATTTATACTAACAGTTTCATATTATTATCACCTGGAAATAACAAATTTACGATGGTATATTTTTGTTTGTTTATAGTATGTAAAATTATGTATACTGAAATACATTAATAATTAACGTACGAAAATGCAATAACACGGAATGTATAGTGATATATACGATAACCTAGCGAATACATTACCTCAACACCACTGTTCATTGCAATCCTGGCAGTTGATGCAAACTAGATAGATTTTGAATACTTGGTTCAATCCAAGGTTACTTTTATGTACAATATCACAGTGGGAAATCCGGTGAATAGACGTATCTCTTTGTCCTTTGCCATCCAATGTCAACATCAACTCCATTTACCCCAAATAAATTTATTGCCTAATCTAAAATAATTTCTAGCCGATCAGAAGATCCAAAATTTTATTAAAATTGCACGTGGATGCTTACAAGTTATTTAATTAATTTTTGTACATAATTTTGTGTGTATGTGATAGGAACAAAGATAACTTTGTTTGTATCTTTGGTTGTGTGTATGTTTTTCGAGTACAAGTGTTGTGTATGTCTTTTTATTGATTTTGAAAGCAGCAATTAAAAAATAACCAGTATGTATCTTGGAAGAAATATTGAATTTTACTTTGCATGCATGAATATTTCATGAATAAAATTTTTATCACGAAAAGTAAATTTATGGCAACTGTGTTCTGGTTACAGATTCTAAATATGGAAGATGACATGAACTGGTACAGAGCCGAACTAGATTCCAGAGAAGGTCTCATTCCAAGTAATTACATAGAAATGAAAAACCACGAGTGAGTACATCTTCTTTTTAATGCATAAAAATATGTTTTCCTAGTTTCTTTTATTGAACACTTATCATAGCTGTGTTATGTTATATATGTGTATTGTTTTTATCTTTTTCAGCTGGTATTACGGGAGGATAACTAGAGCAGATGCGGAAAGATTGTTAATGAACAAACACGAAGGCGCTTTTCTTATTAGAATCAGTGAAAGTTCTCCCGGTGATTTCTCCCTATCCGTTAAGTTAGTATAAGATTTTTAAAAGAATTTCTCTATATAAAAACTAAATAGCCAAGTTAAGGAATGGTTTACTTGCTCTTTTTTTAGATGTTCGGATGGCGTTCAACACTTTAAAGTATTGAGAGATGCTCAAGGCAAGTTCTTTCTCTGGGTGGTTAAATTTAACAGTCTTAACGAATTAGTAGAATACCACCGTACAGCGTCTGTCTCTCGCTCCCAAGATGTTAAACTACGGGATATGGTTCCAGAAGAAGTAATAATCGCGTTATATATACTAATTATTGAAACCATATTTAAATTTTAAATTCGTAACTTTATATTGTATTTTTTTCAGTGTCTAGTGCAAGCATTATACGATTTTGCACCACAAGAACCAGGAGAACTTGAATTTAAACGGGGTGATGTAATTACCGTTACCGACCGCACGGATCAACATTGGTGGCACGGAGAGATTGGCAATAGACGGGGTCTGTTTCCATCTACATACGTCACTCCATATCACTCCTAGGTAAAATATACATGCAGCACTTTCAATAATTGTTCCGTTATTAGCGTTTGTATCTTTAATCTATCCAAGTGGTTTATTCCAGGCCTCATGTTGCACGCACAGAGGTCATAGGCATCGGCCTCTTTATCCTACCACTATCACATACAGGATCAGACTTACAGCAGAATTAATCAACAATATTTTGCAAACTCCGCCTATCGAATGGGCTACCAGGATGTATTGGTGGTCTAGACGTCGAGTTGTTTAGCTTGGCTGAATATACCATTAGCACTATTCATTGGTCTCATTGAAACAAATTCTCCACGTTTAGTAATTACGTAAACATACGTAGAGTTCCTTGATGTACCACATAACGGTGTAGCAGGTTTGTTCTGTTTCATCGTTGGAACAGCGAGAGTAATTTTTCACTGGGACCGATGATACTATTATTCGAAGTTATTAATAGTCATCGTGTGTGTACAATAGATACATCTTTAAGCATCTCATATTTCAGTTTCGCGAATAATCGAGTAGAAGGTAGACGTGAAATAGATTCACGACACTTACATGTGAGGAACGAATCTTTAAATGGTGTTTCCTATTTCTTGGTAGTCCATTAATGGAGTATTCGCATGGAAACGTACATCAATCGTGTACATCGATAACGAGGAGCATCGGCCATATTAAACGAAACTATATTGTTTCGAAAGACAGGTTTATTACAAGGGCTGTAATAAACATTGTATTTTTCAATACGAATTCGCTGTTCAAAGAACGGGGACCTTGGTGATAAAGAGCCTAGTAAGCTACCCTTACGTGAGATACAAGAACTTTATATAGATATAGCATTAAACGCGTCGCCTTTTGGCATAAAATGCACACTATTATGCCTCTATGTTGTGGATATTTTTACAAATACTTTAGGAAGAAAGTATTCTTCCATTGGTTAAGATACATCTGACACCACTACATCAGATATTCTTGCTGTGTATCATATATATATATAGACACGTACTTTCAGACTGTACGCTGAGTAACCATTTTGACATCTTTTTAAGAAAATCCTTTTTAAGTATTAGTGAAGATGTAATAGCAGTTTGAACAAGCTATTTTGCGTTTTGATTTTTTCCAATTATACGCATACGATGGAAGAATTATATTTTTACGATTATCGACTATCCCTTCAAACATAGTTTTTCCGTTTGGAGATTGTGTTGTTTTTTCTTTTTTTCTCTCTGGAGATGTTATGACGAAGAAAAGCGAGCGGAATACAATTTTTTTACACGAACATAGTACATGTTATATATTCTTATCGAAACTCAAATACAACGAGTGACTGATTTATTCTTTGTAATGTGCTAGAATATTAATGAAGGAATAAAACGTAGAGTATCAAAATAACAAAATATAAACGTTACGTCGGGAATCCAATTAATTTCGTGATACGTATTACCTTTTTACTGACAATTTTTGCTCTGCAATGCATTTTTGAGAGATGCCAAAAAGCGATACGACATTGAGGATCGGCCGTGCGAAGTAGACTTGACTATTGAACGACTGGTCTGTATAATGCAAAACATGTAATTTTTGAAAGAGCGTAAGTTCGTGTATATTTTTTTAAACACTTTCTTTTTATCTGATCATTTCAGTAAATCTTGCTTTCGTATTTCTGTGTAAACAATGAAAATACGTAGCTGAATTGTGTAATTATTATTATTATTATTAATATTATTATTATTATTATTATTATTATTATTCGTTATGTTACATTTTATTGATAACAATATATTATATTAATTACATTTGCATGCTTTATTTACTTATGCCCATAAACCACGACAATTTGACTATAGCAAACATTTTGTCTATATCTTGAGTGATAATATTTTAGGTTGTCCAACTGCTTCGTAAATACATCGTAGAGAATTAATGCTATATGCTTATGCATGCACTGTATTTAACATAGGCGAAAACAAAAAAGGCAACTCCGAAGATATTGTTTTTATTAATTCAAAGACTGCAATTATCGCGCGATAGAAGAAATAAATGACCATTCTTGTTTTTAGATTGCATCCAAAACCATGGCTATAGACATTTAAAAATAAGGCATTAGCATGTTACCTTAACCCTCTTTACATTACTCATATTTTTTGCGGTGATTTATTCTATTTTACGTAGTTCCTAAGGAAGCAAGCATTATGTCAATGAGATTAGAAGAAAAAATTGAAACTTACCGAAACATAGAATATCCTAGTGTTCGCTTTTTATAAAGTTTAATATTGAAAGATCGCAGCGAACGATTGCTTAGGTTCAAAATAAATTGTTAGAACGCAAGTTCATCAATTTAATTCTAGCTTTGTGGTTGATGTTATCGAAAACGTGGGTATAGAATAATTAAACTCTGTCAGAAACGTCTGATGATTGGTAGCATAAATTTTAAGAAATACAAAGCATACAGATTCACTTGCCTTACGTACTTAAAGATTGCTCATTTTAACAAGTATGCTCGTAAATATTTTATTTTTACATTTTTTTTTATTTCAATCTGTGATTACATTTTACAGTTTTAATAATTCACCGTGTACATTAGCATTCATTTGTACGCGTATTACACTTTTTATTTTTCGAACGATTTGTACCGATTATTCGAATAAAGACATTGAAGCAACAACAAATAAAGCAATATATACGTACACTCGTTAAGAATAACGTTTTCTTAACTATCCGTGTACAATTGCTTAAACGAATCTGGAATTGAGTTGTCTTATGACAATGTTATACCATGATATGTCTGGACCAAGAAATGTATAATAATGAAATGTAATAAAATACATGTTTGAACAAAGTTCATTCTACTAATCTTGATTTTCATTATTGTTGTTTATAAAACTGTACAAAGTTACACCACACATTTCAGTTTCCTAAATGACAAGCGAATCGAAATGCGATTATATCACGATCAAAGTGTAATGCTGTGAAACGAGTAATGCTAATAATTATTTACTGCCTGATGTATAGCTAATACTTAATACCGAACCATTTATTATGTAATTATTAAATATAACTGTGGCATAATAAAATGCTATCCGAAAACATAAACTTTGCTTTTTCTGTGTATGTGTCGCGTAAATTTAACAATTATAAAAATTGGATATTCTATAAGTGGTTCATTTGCAGAGTAGAATATTTTTGACAGACCGTTTATTAATACAAAAGTTTTTTATTCAACATACTAGTCTATAAGAAATATATCTTCCCGCAGTTTCAGAAGGCCTAATAATTTTTACAACTTGTCCACGCTTTAAGCCAAAATAACGAGCCACTGGATCCCCAGCCTGTATTCGCATCAATTGATTTTCCTTTAATTTATATCTGGTCAGCAATTCTTCTTTCTCATCGGGTGTAAGTACGATATGTTCAGGTACCAATTCGTGTTCTGTAATGTTAATGAGCAACTCGGATTCTAAGAACTGTTCCAATATATATTTCGGCGCCATGTCTATCAACGATTGTTTTGCTATCGGTGTCATTCCTTGTTGTACAACAATGATGGCTCTGTTACAGAAAAAATCATATAAAAGATCATTGTTACGAGATTGCTAATCTCGAAAGTCGTGCTTTAGTTTATTTATGCTATTAATTAAACATACGAAAGCCAATGTTTACCTGTGAATTTTTTCTTCTTGCATACGCTGACAATACGTTTTAATAGTTTTTATGCCTATCTTAGGTTCATCGGGAAAGAAAACAAAGAGTTGATCCGTCGGATCATCATTGTGAGCTACCAGAACAATCAAATCACTGCGCGCTGGTCGTTTTTCACTTGGTTTGTCACCGAACTGTTCTTTAAACTGTTCTAAAGTTTGATCTAATTCATCCTGTGTAACAAGATAACCTCGATCGTGGCATAATTGCATTACCGTTTTTCTTATTCTCCACAATTTATACGCTTCGGCTTCGTCATCCATTTCTTTCTTATATACGAATTACTTCCTTATACAATTTCTCAGACTTTCCTTACAGGTTCCAATTCTTTGCTATTTTCAATCGACAATAACTCCGACGCTAAAGCGTGCTTCTTTAGAAAACATAACCTCAATCAAATGGGAAACAAACAAATCGCGTTAATTTTGATATTCATAAATAATTAGTCCGAATGATTGTTGATAAATATTTCGTTTGGGATGAGATATATAAGGGTGATTATCTACACCATGCAATTACAAAAGATAATAAATCGATCCGATTTGATCGTACCAATAAATTAATTAATTTCTTCTTATCAAGTTCTATATCAAACATATTGTTTCTTTTTTCTTAGAAATTATGAAAATATCGACTTTATCTTTGCTAGAAGTAAACGAGATTTACAAGTTAATTTTTTTTGTCAACGAGCAAAATTTGTTAGCGATAAGAAGAGAGATTTCTTACACTTTTTAAAATGTAAGATGTTATTAATTTTTTTGTTATTTGGATAATTCGTATAAAACTGAACAACATTTGGTCGAATCGTTTTTCAATAATAATTACAGAGTTGTAGAAAGAAAATGTGTGACGAAGGAAAAGTTCAGGAAAGCGGCAAGGAAGCAAAGAAACATTGTCTGCCGATTACGAAATGTTACCTTTTATTTAATTCTATTGTCTCGGTATCGAGACAAAATTAATTTCTAATACAAATTTAATTTTTTAATTACACGATTATGTTTTCAAATTCATTGGGTATTTTGGCGCCGACGACGCTTACCATGGTGATTAGTAGTTCACTTTGGTCACCGATAGATGACAACATCGTACACAAAATATCCTGTATTCAATTGTAATTCGTAAATCAAGTTTTCAGACAGAAAGCCGGACACGCGCTATTGTTCTCCGTTGCCAGTTACCAGTAGAACAAGTCGAGGTGAAGAATTTTATCAACTACCGTGATCGAAGGATACATACAGGACGCGTAATGCTATGCCGACGTAATTCAAACGTTTTAAACGCTGATACAATTGGTCATTGAGCAGCTGGACGAAGTTAAATAATAGGAATCGGAAGCATAATTCCTGGACGGCGTACATTTTTATCAACCGCCTTTGTGACTCTGATTACCTCGTGTCCTTTGGAGGGCATCGCTCCAGACAAATAAATTTATCCATAAATCTGTCGAGTTGGTCGTTGCAATAATCGCCATTCCTTTTGTGGCGACCGACGATTAAAATGGTCGCACGATTTTGGTCTATGCGCGCCAGATTTATGACTGCGCTAACAATAACGTTGCGGTTTATAATGCCTCACGGATAGCAGAGCAAGTTGTTCGTTAAAAGTAACTGATACACGTACTGTCATGGATTTGGACCTTGCATCTGCAACCCTCATACAGAGTTCAGGACCCTGGCCAAGGATCGCGATGTTCAAGGTATCGTATACATAACCAGACATTCTAAATATTATTATTCGAACCATTTGATTTAATTATTACGCTTTCGAGAGCGAGGAATTCAAAACCAATCCAGCACGAATCAAAATCAAATACTGTTCGAGATTCGTTGATCGGTTGTTTCATTACTATGTTGTATTGGGTAAGTTCGGAAGTTCGGAAAGTTTGTGGAAATTTTTAAGAAAAATTCAAAGGCATATTTGATTTTTGATATACAGGGTGTTCAAAAAATGTTGTAACACCTTGAAAGGGGTGGTTCGGGAGGTGATTTGAAACAATTTTCTCCTTAGAGAAAATATTATCCGAGGCTTCGTTGAGGAGATATTAACGGAAAACACTGACCAATCAGAGCGCGCGTATACCGTTGGAGCGACCGCGGTAGCGCTAGGTGGCCGCTCTCGTACGCTACCGCGACCGCTCCAACGGTATACGCGCGCTCTGATTGGTCAATGTTTTCCGTTAATATCTCCTCAACGAAGCCTCGGACAACATTTTCGCCAAGGAAAAAGTTGTTTCAAATCACCTCCCGAACCACCCTTTTCAAGGACCTCCAACATTCCTGGGACACCCTGTATATTTATTGAATTACATAGAAGGTATCATTTTGTTCCACAACTTTTCCACCTATTAAGAGACGTACATATACATGTTATTTGTTTTCAATCATTTCCATATATATTCAGACCTGTACCACGTACTAAAAATCGACACGGACTTTACAGACAACCCAATAATATAACGTGTACGCTAATTATTGTATCATTCACCATAGATGAAGTTCCAATTTGGAACTTCCAAAGCGTTCGAATGTCGGGATAGCCCGTTACGTATAGAAATTGACCGGGATGTGGGTATTTCCCCCTTTTCGGTCGTGTTTAGGTTCGCGATCCCTACCATCGATTACGTTCTTGACAAGCGTACCGCGATCGCGACGTCAGTGGTTATTTGGTCCTCGTGAAGGTGCTACACCTGTCGCGCGATCGCTCGCTATTCGCTATAGATGTCACAGGGTTTGAAGTGCGAGCTTCGCCGCGTGTTCCACATCGCCGAAACACCTCCGCCCCGATCGGTTACACGATAATCATCGTTGGAACAGTTCGGTTTAACAGCGAATCGACGAATATGCACAAGGTACGACACTCTTTCTCCCCAAACAGTTCATCGAACGTCGACTAACAGGCTTAGGATAAGTGAATGAATACATACACTTGGGACAAGTGAGAGTGAGGTGGATCGTGCGATTTTTCGAAGGACAGACAATTTGTTTGTTTTTATCGACAAATTATTGTATACTTCTAAGAGATTCGGGAACAGGTTTTCTGATGATCGGAGTATCTCCATTGTTTTTTCTTTTTTTTTTT